TTCTCCATTGTGAAATCCATGGATAACAACTTTCACTGTACAGGCTTCCACAGTTGTAAAATTGTGACTCACTTCACTTAGACATGAATTTAGCAATTTAGTTCTATCCCCAAACCACCAGTTATATGACAAATTATGAAATATCCCAGGACTATGGACCCTAACTGCAAGGTTAACAGTTCCTGCGGTGAAAGGATTTTTGTTTTGGGAGGAATTCTGATAAGCCTCTAAAGATGCAAAAATCTTCTCTGCAAAAAGATATAGCAGTAACAGAAATTAATCTATAAAGCACACATTTATTAATTAAGTAAAAAGTCAAGACTATCAGCAAGTGAAACATTTGCAGCAAAAGAGAAGGAAGAGTACACTAAATAAAAGTACACCTAATTTATGCTTGTTTCATACATCTTTTCTTTCTGCTTTGTTGAATTTGAAAACACCAGCCATATTGTAACTCCCGTCAATTCAAAACCATGGCATGCAAGTAAAAAAGGCAGAGCAAATAGTTGTGCAGTGACAAGCAAGATCCTCTTCAGAACACCAGTAGTAGCTACAATTATGTCTCGCTTTTTGAATAAATGGAACAGGCTTTTAAACTCTGAGGACTATTTTACTCACAAATTCACCCAAAAATAAATATAAATAAATATTACCAGAAAATAATTAGATTAAAAAAGAAACAAGCCATTGTAATCAACAGGTCACAGTGAATTAATTTAAAAAAACAAAACAACTTTGGCCAGAAAGCTTTGACTGTCCATAATTTTTATCTGATGCTATGACATAAGTCATGCTATGAGGTTTAGGGTTTGGGGGCGAAATTCAATTAAAAATCACTCACTCACTTTGTTAGACATTATTAATTTATGCATTAAACCTGGATTAAACACTTTTTCTCCCCCTCCCCGACAAGATTCCCTGTTCAAAGTCATGGTGTAGGTATATTTGAGGGGTGGTACAAAGGCAAGAACATGCCGAACTACTTGGACAGATTCAAAATGGTGTCCCGCCTCTTGAAGCGTGCATGGCTTTTTTTTTATTCCAAACTTGATCAAATCATACCTTTGTGGAGCCAAAAATGGAAAGGAAATATAATACAGAATACTCGACTGCAGAGAAATGGGGGCCTGAGTCCTAAAAGTGACAATAACATGAACGATTCGTACATGAAGACCCAAACACCACGAATAAGAAGTGAACTTAAGCTTACTGCAAATTGGTAAGCATGAAACTTCGTTGATTTCATCTTGTAGCTGCCCGTATCTTAACTAATTCTTCACACATTCGCAATTTAAAGACAATTTTTCTCCATCAAAACGCTTACAAACACAATAATTGTGCCAGTACGTGTTACCCATGATCAAAAATCTTTCCAAAGTTAAGAAAGCCAGATCACAGGTTATGTCAAGGGTGCCAAAAATTCATACCATGAGGTTGCTCTAAGGAGCCTTTGATCTACTTATAAGGCACGTAATAAAATGTAAGGCAAGATTTCCGTGTAAACCCATTCTTAGTTATGTATTCAATTCTTGAATAAAGGAAAGCAGAGGTCCTTTAGGACTAAGGCTTTGTTCTTAATTGGTATGGGGTTATACAGAAATCTTTCCAAATGTAAACATCATGAGTGGAATTCCACCAATGTGATCATGAGGAGATAATTACCATGATTTCAATTCCATAGACTGTCAGACAAACAGATGGTGAGAGCAAGACCTAAACATCAATTTTCAGCCCCATGTGACATACATTTCGTAGTGTATAATTATTGGCTATGAAAATTTGACGACAAATTAACTAAAAAATTTCCCTCACTTGATATTTCCCTATGTTTATTATGATCTTTCTACTTGGAATTACTGTATCAATAATAATAATCATAATAATAATGTTTATTTCTTATATTGCACAGTCTAACATGCAATAAAAGATATAATTGAATGCACATTACAACATTAAAAATCTTACAGCAATGAGGCTAATCCTAATAATGATAGTAATAATAATAATTTACAATTTTTTGGAAAAACAATAAAGGTAAAATATGAATTAATAAAAGAACTAATAGAAAGCTAAATTAAAAAGATGTGTCTTTAGTAAAACTTTAAAGTATCCAATGATTGACACTGTCTAATTTCCAGAGGTAGTCGGTTCCATACTTTGGGTGCAGCATGTTCAAACGCCCTATCCCTGAGTGTCTTTTTTGTTCTGTAGGACGGTGTTATCGATTAGGAGTATGCCCCGGTGGGATCTCGACTGATACCGCGAACTCACTTTGATTTTTATCAAGTCTGAGAGATATTGTGGTGCGATGCCATAGATACATTTGTGAACTAACAGTGCTATCTTGAATTCTATTCTGTGGTTGACCGGAAGCCAGTGCAGGTTGATCAGGGATGGTGTGATATGATCATACCTAGATACAGTGCATACCAGTCGAGCTGCTGCATTTTGTAGGCATTGCAGCTTGCCAAGATGAACAGCGGGTGTACCATATAGCAGACCGTTGCAGTAGTCTAATTGTGACATTATAATAGCCTGTACAATGGACTTCCTATTGTCATATGACAGATACTTTCTAATACGCTGGATGTTGTATAGATGGTAATAAATAGCCTGACATATGCTGTTAATATGTGTGGCCATATTCATGTTTGCATCAAGCCAAACACCAAGATTTCTAACAGAACAGACAGCAGAAACCCTTATCTCACCTNGCACTTGGTTAATAAGATATATATATTCGCAATATTTTAGCTTACAAATAAGAATAAAAAGAAAAATTTATTAGAGAAGCATAATTTTGCAGTAGGAATGTGTGGAAGTTATAGTTCACTTATTACGAATGCTCCATACCAGTGATTCAAAAGCTGTAAGAGATTATTTTTGAAATCTATTCTTTTAGCTTTTGGAAGCCAGTGTGAGCAGTCTGGGTATTTATATGTTTTCAGGTTCCAGTTTTCAGGCCAAACAAATATAAATTACCATTTTTTTTTTAACATGAAACTTCTCCCTGCGATATCAACATTTAATTTACTGCCACGGGCGACTAGTTCTAACAAGCACGATTTTAACACGGCGAAACGACACGACACGAAACAACACGGTTAAAACTGCAAATAAAACAGCAAACGAAAACCTATTATAATATAAACTACACTAAATATCATGGAAAGCTGCAAAGAAAACGACGATGAAAACTACATAATACAAACTTACATTTGTTGCGATGTTTTGAATCCTGTCTAGTGGCGAACAAGCTGCACGAAGCGAAAAGAACGAGTCTACAAACTACACTTGACAAAACTGCACAAACTACGATGAACAATGTGGTTTAAATACATGCTACGCTATGTAATGAAACAAAGAAAGCGCACGCAAAACTTTACTACAATTAGCGCTACTGCACAAGAAACAACAAACAAAAAATTAATGCGTTGCGATCTACGACATTATCCAACAAAAAGGTAATGAGAATAGCTTATCAGGTAGTTGTTATATTGATCAAACACCAATTTCTCATGACTAATTTACAAAGAAATGTGTAGCAGCTGGAAGGAAGAATTAATGATCAGATCTCAAGTTCAGACCTCAAGTTTAGGGAAGGAAAGTACCACCAAGCAAGCACAAGCGTGTGTAAGATCATCTTTGACAAATGATATGTCAACTCCTGCGATCAGACGCAAGTTACTAAATGGTTTATCAGTGGATTCACCCCAACTGATGCAGTCCTCGCAAACAAGCTTCTTTTTTAACTCAAGTTGTTCCCTACAATGCAAAATAGCGTTTCTGATTCGGTTATCAATATAAAAAAAAAAGTAGCTAAACATTTGTGAAACAAAATCAATTATAATTTCTCAATANACTCCGCTTTCGATTGCTGGAATAACGATGATTATATTCAGTTCCGACAAGAATCTTCACTGAAACTGAAACCGTTTTTTGTCCTTCGCTGAACCAACGCCATCGAAAGCTTTTCCATCTGAGTGTTGTTTGCTTCTGTCTAATCCATTCCAGATCGGAAACCTTCCACGAGAATTCGTATATTGTATTTTCGGTATATCCCAAATGTCTACTTTCTGCTCCGGGTTTCCGCACAACCACAGCTTCGAAAGCTGTTTCTTCTCCAATTTTGCTTTCTTTGCTATAAGACAACAGTACTTTGTATTCGTCCCCAAAATAACCACGACAAGGAAGAGCAAAAATATTAGCTAAGACAAGGAGAGGCAAGGACGTATGTCGGTGCATATTTCAGACTGTTTTGAGGTTAAACTTTGTTCTACTAACTAAACGAAAGCGGGATACCATGAATACTGACTCGTGAAATTGTTATTTACCCTTTTCATAACGGGTATCTCATGTAAAGTCGAAAGTCAGCTACTGGGGAAAACATTAAACGGATTAATACTTAGTAGCCACGCGATATCAAATTTACACCCGAATTGCGGAGGTACTGGGTAAAGTCAAAGAAAATGTTATGCAAATCTTTTTACATAATAGGAACTAAATTTTGCGCTAAAAATTACTATATTTTATTAAAACTGTGATCTAAATGAGTAGAGGGATGATTAAAAAATTTTTTGACCATTTCAACTCCTTAATGCCTAAATTCGTGAATAAGAGTGAAGTAATAGTAATAATTAGTTCTCAGTCTTTTCTCGATTATTTCACAACGAAGATGTCGGCTTGTTCGCTTACTAAATTGTCGGCCTCTACCATTGTGCAGGATGGATGTATTGTGGAAGGATACGACTTGAGCACATTGCCAAGAGCTGTTCTACAAGAACTTCTTTTGACTTCCATTTCTCAATCTAGGATTCTCAGTTTAAGAATTTTGATCGTAAAGTGGCCTTTAAGACAACTCATACTGCAAAATGTTCAAGGTTTTGATGAACCGAAAGCAGTTCTCCTTGCTTACTGTTTGCAGAGATTTAAACACGATTTACGACTTGTCGACATTAGGGGATGCAACATTGGTGAGTCACGGGCAAATGCCAGATATTCGATCTTTGTACATGTCATGAGCAAATTTTGGTCATTGCCGTTTTTACGTTAAAATGCTGTAATGCACCTATCAGTGTAGTATCAAGCCCGCAATGTTGCCATACAGCCATCTTCCATCTGTAAAGTAAAATCTTAACTGTTTTCCCAAAATTCTGCGCTAGAAATTCAGGGGCCCACATTCTCAGTCCAATCCCTAGGGTTGGGGAAGGCAATAGCGATCAAATGCTCTATCTATCGGCAGGTTGCTCCCCCTAAGGTTTAAGATCAGTTAGCTCATTACATGTGCCTCAGGATACCTCCTAGAAATTCTTGTATAGGTGTGCTGCCTTGCTTCCCAAATCCCAACTCTAATCAGCCTTCTCTATGGCTACAGTCAGCAAGCTTAAGAAATCATGTGAACATCTTTGGGGATCTTTGGCAATGTTTGGAAGTCATCAGAACATCTTGTTAACGTTTTGAAGTAATTTAAGTCACCCAAAGACACACCTCATCCTTCTCATTAGCACAACCCTGACTTTAATTCCAGCCCTTTTGGATTTTTAGGTCTTCATGGGACCACGGCATTTTGCAAGCTAGCTGCTGATATTCAAGTTTCAGACAATGATGTGTTGGGAATGAAAATTTTGGACACACGTCCAACTGCAGAATTCCTAAAAGGAAACTTTCCAACAAAAGTTTCATGCCAGAGAATTCCCCCAACAGTGATTATGTTAGATTGTATTGTTGACAAAGACAACTGTGGCCTTGTAATCCAGGCTTGCACTAAGCACTCAGTTATGGATTTAAAGATATCACATTTAACAGTACATTCCATTAGAAGGAATAAGCTTCGCACCCTGTTGTCTTCTTTGGAGGTGGGAAGAAGGAGAAGTTTTTTACATTTCAGCTATATATAGTTGATGAAGATCTAACAAATGTAACAATAACCATGGCAGAGATCTGCTGTTAGTGCTCTGCTTCATACAGGGGGAATGTGGGAGAAAAATGGAAAAATGCCACATTTATTAACCCTTAACACCTTAACATCAGAGGGTATATTCTCCATACTGTTCTCTAAACATTTCCTAAGGTACTGACAAGGAGAATTTGTTTAACAATCAAGAGCTTCTTTGGTTGATGATCATTTTCTCTATTTCCATAACCTTAATGTATGATTCAGGAGTGATATTGTAAGGAGAAGGTAGATGTGAGTCAATCTTAGGGTGAATCACTGACCTGCTGTATTCACAGTAAAGCACAATGTGTGGTTCCAGAAAATATCCATACCCCCCCCCCAAAGAGGGTCACGGAAATTTGAAATTTGGAATGCTGGAGGGGCACTTACTTATGTTCAATGGGGAAGGACCTCATGCCCCATGGGAGGTGCTATATTTCACAGTAAAGCACAATGCACATAAGATGTGGAAACTAGGAGAAAACAGGGGGGATTCCCTCTCCTTCTACACCACCACCACTTCCATGGGTTTTGCCAAGTAAGGGGAGGGGAGGGGCCTTGGATAGAGAAATTATATTTTTATCAAATACCTACACATTGATATTCACCATTTTTCTCTTTTATTAAGTCTTCAATAATCAAAGGCTTAAACCTGGCAATGAATGGACTACAGGAAGAGGGATTCAATGTCATTTCCCCCATTATTACAACCTTCACAAATTTAACAGATCTTAATCTTTCCTACACTGGTATAACAAGTCAAAACACTTCCGCTATTCAGCAAATAGCCAATATCTGCCACAGACTAAAAACAATAATGAAGCTTGATATGTCTGGTAATTATATCCGGTCTGGAGTGTACGCTATTCTACATCATCTACAGTCACCTTTGACTCATCTGGATCTGAGAGGATGTGGCGTGCGAGAATCTGACCTCTGTGAAATGTGCAAACTAGACACTTTAAAGCATTTGAAGTCTTTGAAACTAAATGGAGGTGCATTTGTGAACTGTATTGAACTGTTGTGCCGTTTTGTTCTTAAGTCAGCTGGAACATTGGAGTTTTTGTCACTAGAAGATCACATGTTTGATTCATCCAGTATTTCTCCCCTTTGTCAGATGATCAAAACACTACCTCTGCTAAAGAGATTGTCACTAAGCTACAACCATTTTTTGCCTGATGATATTAGAACAATCAAAGACAAGTTTCCAGCCATGGACTTGGTTTACAAGGAGTGGCTCTATTAACCTCAGGTATTCAAGGCATTTAAATTGTATTCAGCCCAGGGCTGGGTTCATTAAAGGTGGTTAAGATAACCCAGTGCTAGTGTGAAATTTGATTTCAGATCTGAAAGCTTTATAACAGAAAATTCAGTCTAATTCTATTTGAATACAATTTGATGATTGAATGCTCTAAAAAGAATTGGGAAAATTATCCCCAAACGGCTTTTGAACAGAGAAATATAGACACGGATTAAAATTAAACCCTGAATTAGCCATAATCAGCCATCGAACAACTGGGCCCAGGTTTATCTGCGTTTGGTGGGCAAAGAAAATAGTTTCACCAACAGAAGTGCACAAGGCTTTATTTTACAGTACTGATACATTAACGAAAATTAATCTCCTTTATCTACCCACATGTTTATTAAAAAATAATTTAACCTTTTTCAGTTAATAGCGGGGCTCCCACGCGCGCGTCGCGCCCTTGGGGCAGAGCCCCATACCCATGGAATATGATCAACCTCTTTTCGTTTGTTGGTTATATCAACTAGATTGAAATTGTAAATTGAAGAGAGCTCTGACGAAGGGCTAACGCTCGAAACGTCAGCTTTTTTATTCGTTACGGTGGCCAATTTACAATTTCAACTTAGTTGATATAACCAATTATCTTGTTACCCTCGCCGACGTAGCACCACAGTTTCTTTAGAAACTTTCAGCCTTTATTCATTTCTCTTTTCGTTTGGTTGTCACGTGACTGACAGAGCGTACGTACGTACGTGCCTTCAGATTGCACGGGTAGGGTAGGGGAGACTATCAAAACGAAGGGAGGGGTGTCTCAGGTGAGTCTTGGCAAATGCAAATCTTTTATGTTATCATTAATGTTACGAACTTGGAAGCTCCGCTTTTAGGCTAAATCTATATATTAAGTGAAATTGAAAGTAAGTGGTATCACCTTATCGGTACGATTTGATAACACGTAGTCACATTTTTTCTCCTTCAGCACCATGGATGTCGAAAACGTGCAAAAGCTGTACTCACGATTTATTCGCTTGACTCAATTTTGCTATTACACTTCAGTTAACTCCCACTCACAACTCTCACGAAAACACACACCACGTCTTATTGTAAGCACGTGGAACAGCGCCATATAAGGGGCGATAAAACACGTGCTGCATACATGCTATTTGGTTACGTAATAGACAAACGAAATCACNGAGCCAGCACTGTATATCCTCCGTCATACTGAAGCCTTCTAGCGCAACCCGCACATTTGTAGACAAGTTGACTGCCATATGGCCTGACACGAGCTCCAAACGAGGAATCGTCAGACTTTTCTTGGCAAGGCGGGATTTGGCGGCAATCAGACCCTGTGTCACGCCTGACGCTTGTGTAACCACAGCATACACAGCAGCATTCACACCGTGAATACTTGCATCACCAAATGCATGAAGTTTAATATTATCGATCGGTTCCTGGTACTGAACAAGACTGCGAGGAAAGTACATATCATCCGGTGCATTTTTCTCCCATTTTAGCCACCGTTTCGCGATCCCGTCGGGAAGTGGGGTATCCCAGCTGAACTTCATCTCATTGGCTTCTCGATAGATTTGTTTCCCCTCTAACATTGCAGGCGACACAAGTCCTAATGGGTCATAAATCTTCGGTAAGTTAGCGAGGATGCCCCGCTTGCTCAATGTAGCAGGCTGAGATGGGAGTGAAACATGTAAAGTGTCATCCCCTTTGTCCCATTTGAGTCCCAGTAGCTAGCACTCTCCATGAGCTGATGATGTACCAAGCTGTTGTTTAGCAACTAGAAGGCTCGTCATCGGTGCAGTCGCCTTCGAGTTCTGGCACGTTTGAGTGCCATTTGTGCAAGGTAAACCTTGCACGATTAAAGATCTCTACCGCATGATGTTTGAGCTGTTGGGCACCTTCCACAGTAGTATCTCTGGTAATCAAATCATCTACTTACAGACTGTTCTTAATTTCTTGTACAGTCCCTAGGTAGTCGGACTGCAGACTTTCCAAGTGTTGTATCACGGCATTGAGTAGGAAAGGAGAAGGAGCAAGACCAAACACCACTCTCGTAAACCTCAGCACTTCCAGTTCTTCAGTCGATTTGTCTTTAATCCAGTGGAAAACTCAGTACGTCACCTTCAGCTTCCTTGACACGTGTCTGTAGGAAGGCCTTGCGCATATCTCTGGCAACTGCAATAGGCTGGAATCTGTTGCGGACAATAACATTCCAAAGCTCATTGTGTAGTGGGGGGCCAGTGTGTAAACACTCATTCAAAGATGGCGCACCGTCATACGCACGGGCCGAGGCGTCATATACCACTCGTAGCTTGGTTGATTATGCGTTCTCGCGTATTACCGCTCGGTTGGGCATGTAGAATTCTTTGGCTGTTACCTTCGCTGGTGCCTTCTCGACCACACCTCCCTCTAACTGTTCCCGAATAATGTCGTCGTACTGGTCTAGCATATCAGTTCTCTTTAATTTCCGTAGAGGAGAGCTCTCTCTACGCACACTGCCCGCACAATTATTGGGCAACTCAGGACAGTTCCCTTTGCAGGGTAGTCCAGTTTCGTATCGGCCGTCCGGACTTCTAGCCAGTTGCTCCTTAAATTCTTCGTGGACGTCGCTTTGGTGAGTAGATAGTTTGTCCTCTAGTCCTAAGACATCCAGGGCGCAGAGTCGGTTGTGATCCACCCTAGAATTCACGGCAGGGTACGCGTTGCCTAGATCTGTTCTGGGGGACATTATAGTCCATCCGAAACGTGTACGCTCTGCTACTGGATCTCCTCTTCGTCCGACCCGTAAACGATCACTTGTCCGTATCTTGGCAAAGTCACTAGCGCCGATAATCACATGCACAGGTAAGCGAGCCTTTGTATCGCTATCCTCCATTTTAACACCTCGCAAGTGAGGGTGATTTTTTACGAGGTCGGAATACCTTAGGTTGTCTAAGGTCAACAGTTCCCTTTTTTCGATTTTCGTGACATTTACGTTTAGTGAGAAATCTCCAGTCACAGAATGCATGACAACTTGCATATGAACGTTAC